GCGCCATCTCGTCGAGGTATAATCCAGGGTTTTCGGAAAGGTGTCCACAGAGAGCCTCAACCATAAGTGGGGTGATACTCTTGGGTCGGCCGGAGGGGATTAGGGGTGCCTTGGGACTGCCGAACAACCGTAGGTTAGAACGGATATATCTAACAGACTGCTTACTGCATGCTGCTGTATTAGCGATATCAGTGGTTTTTAGATTGCTCTCGATCATATCACAAATCAGTTGTCGCTTCGATGGGGATAAGTTCGGAGCCATTTCTGTTTGTTAAATAAGGGGGGGTGAGGAGTGGAAAGACGATGAACAGCAGAAGCAACAGGAAACGAGGGATACGTGGGGTCACACACGTGTTGTCATCGTCTTGTTCCTTACCATACCATTCAAAAGGTTCTAGCCAGGGGCCGTTTTGAGTCTAACTAATTAGAGATAAGTTTGTCTTGGCAAGTGAGATTGGGAAAGAAGGAGAGTGTGCAAAAGCGCAAGGCGATTTTGCAAGCTACTGTATGAGCTGCTTCTGCTTCAAGGAATACCTCAACTATGCACGGTGTTGATAGCGCGGAAGAACAAATATGATGGTTGCGCATTGTCGGGGAGGAAAATAGGATAGACCCCTGCTATTAGAAATATGAAGGTGGGGGTTGGCGCTTCTTTCTCGCTCTGGCGGCATTGTATTAGTGAGGGCTAGCCTTATGCGAGAATTTTTATTCGGAGGTAGCGTAGAACTAAAGTTTGATCTTGTCTGAAAGAGGTGGTCCGAGGTAGCTGCAATTGGCCTCAGTACCTTGGGCTGAACCTTGGCCTAGTTGTCGGTGGCATGAGCAGGTCTTTTTCAATGGTTGAACCTCCTTACCAGGGGCCCACGCAGCAATTTTACAGACCGTTCCGCATCTAGTTGCGCCGCACATTTGTGAATGGTAAACACTTTCATACAGGGACCCACTAACCACTCTTCTTGACCACTCTTCTTGACCACTCTTCTTGACCACTCTTCTTGACCACTCTTCTTGACCACTCTTCTTAACCGCTCTTCTTAATCACGCGGTTTACTGTAGCCAAAATGAAAAGAATTGCTAACTCGCGACGTCTGGTTTTCTGGAGTGCCTAAGCAAATGGCCGTTGCCGTTTTTATCAATGATGGTATTTCTAAGTTTATAACCCACAGGGCCTATCCTTGGCGAGGGAAAACAGTGCAGGTGTATCTGTTTTATTCTTTGAGGTCACCAGAAGGACTGCGTGACCTCTAATCGCCAAAGCCGTGGGCGTACACAGACTTGATATATGGATGGAGCGAAAAATGGAGTAATTGCTGTTCTCTCAGAACTAAAAGGAATTTTGCTGACTACCAGCATCGTAAATGCTTTATTCAAGTGGGATCACGCCTGTGCAGCAAGCGTTTTGATTTAGAAGTGGAAAGTGGGACCTTGAGAGTGACGGATATCATTGACAGTGAACCACCCTCTATACGATGGCCGTGCCCACCGCATGGTATCTAGAAAAACTGAACCCGTACCGACGAGACCGGTCTAGACCCCCGTGAAACCATTGAGTAGTTCGATAATTACCTGTCGCCTGAAAACCAGCACCAAGGCCAAAGCGTGTTGGTGCCTGAAGTACCGCAGACTTGCGCTGCGGGTGAGTAAATTGGTAATAACCATCTAACAGTGCATCCTTTCCAGTTTAGGTAGCATTAGCACAAGCCCGTAGCATTACCGAGTCCCTGGACTAGGAATAGGCTCTTCAACTATGTTCTTAGTAGCTATCACTAGACAATGACGAGCAGTAGGCAACATGTAAAATCTGCTGTTACAGTACCGTATTGAACTCAGAGTGCCCGATCGCTGCGCACACGCTCAAAGCCTGATATAGCATCAATTGAAATATCTTTCTATAAAATAGCTGGGCCCTAGAAGTTTCGCAGATAAACCGTGACATGTCCATGGTTGCGTTCCTTGGCGATGGCATACGCCGTTTGGCCATTCGAATCTTTCAGTCGCTTTTTCACACCACGCCGATTGGCCAACAACTGCACAACCTTATAATGCCCACCAGCCGCAGCCCACCAGAAAGAAGTTCTCCCCTGGTCGTCTATCGCATTCACATTTACGTTGGGATGCTCCAATAATATTTTGACAATCTCAAACCTGCCTAGAGCCGACGCAAACATTAGCGCAGTAAAGGAGGAGCAATGGTTTTGGTCATTGATCAACAAAGATTTTTCACAGCTGACTAGGAGATGGACAACATCGACATGCTCCATAATTATTGCGACCTGAAGTGGCGACGTCCCCGATGGGCTAATTTGGTTGATATCGGCTGAATTCTGCAAGAGAAATTCCACCGTTGCAAATTGTCCTGCGCGACATGCTGACCAGAGCGGCGGAAATGCATCGGTAAATTGAGGGCTCTTATGAATCCCCGGCTGTCGGAAGAGGACTTTGATCAAGTCTAAGGAGCCATTCGCAGCAGCCTTTGCCAAAGGTGTCTGGCCCAGCTTGTCGGCACAATTGAGGTCCAGATTTGCTTGCTGCAAGAGAAGTTCAACCAATTTTACATCGGAATTGTTCACTGCATACCATATTGCGGTACGTCCATTCGCATCTTGGTAATTAAGGTTGATACATGGACTCAAAAGCAAGGCTTCCATGATAAGCAGCCTTTTGTTGATGGGGAGGAAACGGCCGTGTCGTTTAACAGCCAGAAGCAACGGAGTTTCCTGGCGATGGTTGAAACAGTTGACGTCAACTCGAGGATTTCGTACAAGCATTTGGATTGCTCCATAATCGCCAATTTCTGTCGCTAGGTGCAGTGGTGTTTGGCCATGATGGTCGCAGATGTTGGCATTTGTTCGCTCATCAGACAAGAGAAGTTGGAAGACATACGTTTGGCGACAGGTCAGTGCAAGTGAAACCGGCGCATTTCCCTCCAGTGATTGGTTATTGAGATCAATATTCTGTATACTGAGGAGCCGTTCGATAATTCTGACGCTTCCATGCAGAACAGCGATCGAGAAGGCACTTTCTCCCAAAGTATTACGCTGTATGACATTCACTGAATGATGGCTTAAGAGAAAAGCAACAGCATCTGCGTACCGCAACTTTGTGGCCAACATGAGCGGTGTAAGGCCAGAAAACTTTCGGTTGACATCTGCCTTTTCCCAACCCAGAAAGTGTTGGACGATGTCTAATCTTCTATGTTCGATTGCCCAATGAATTGGCGGGGTGTCTTGAAAGTCTATGCAATCAATGAGGCTCTTCCTGAAGACGACGTAGGATTCCCGAGATGTGAGACACAGACTTCGAAGGTCTTTCTTGTCGATGGACTTGCCAATCCACAGAAGTAGTTCTAGTGGAAGTCCCAAAAGCGGCATCTCGGCAGATTGCGTGAACGTATATCTATGCAGATGATAATAAAAGGAGGGCTCAGAGTAATAATTTAGAGATCAAGTCTGCCACCGCGAGTAGTTGGCTGAGGAGCTTGGGAGACGCATTTCTTTGTGGTGGTGGTTTCTATTTAACTATTCTTGAAAGCATATTATCGAAGCCAGTGCACTAAATAACGATATCATTGTACGGATTTACCTAAAAGTGGATGTTGAGTCACCAGCTCCTAGGATCATGATACTTGCTCCTGGGACCATGCGACTGGTTCCTAGGAGCCCTAAGGATCCCGGGATACGGCTATAGTGTCCCAGGAAACACACCCATACCTGAGTCTAATATGACGGACATACGAAAACCTGCTTTCAACATGAGTGCTATGAGTTTTGATCTGGGCAACGTTTTCTTTATAAGGCTAACTTATGCTCACATGTATATCAACATTTAGAAGTTACAAGGATGATTGAAATAGTAGATTGTTTAAGATTGCTGGAAATTCAATACTTGGCAGATCACTCAGAAGCCGTAATATAATACAAATCAAAACAAAAATGGTACGTTACATTACTCTCTATAATTACTTACTTCCTCATCTGTGGCGGTGCGGACCATGTAACCGTGCTAAGCCTACAAATGCCTACCCGGCATTGGTGGGCCTCACAAGATTACAATTTTTCACAAGATTATAAATTTCAAGATTAAGTATCTTTTATATTGCTACTCTATACAAAAGGTACATAAACACAACATAAGTATAATATCAATTTTCTCAACCATTAAAGTGGTTAGAGGATATAAAATGATATTCATATATCATAAATAAAGTTCTTATTTTATGCCATCAATCTTAGTAGGAAATCTTGAATGCGTGAAGTAGAAAACAGTTAAACGTTCTCATCCGATATTCTTATATAGCTTTTTCGAAAAAGGCCCTTATGCCTCTATATTATATATTCAGCATTAATATACCCAATTAATGATTTAAACTAGACTTATAGTACAAGTTAACGTTTTTATTTTTCCTTTAGCTATTATAAGGGTTGAATTGTGGTCAAATTGGATTTATGTACCCTTTGTATAGAACAGCCATATAAAAGATACTTAATCTTGAAATTTATAATCTTGTGAGGCCCACCAATGCCAGGTAGGCATTTGTGGGCTTGGCACGGTTAACTGTAATGTAACTACATGTTTCATTGTAACGAGCTGGCTGTACTAAGTTTTCGCCAGAACAGCTAAGAGTTGCTTGTGTGGTTAGCCTCAACGGTCTTCTTTGCCCAGTGAAGCTATTTTCCAGAAAGATCTAATCAAATGCCACTGGAAATGAATCGATTGTTATATAAAGGTGTATCGGCGAGCCCGCCTAAAAGGACGCTTATCATGCTTCAGATTTGCTGCGCTTAAAGTGTAGGGTGTTCGCCCCTTCAGTTTACCGTATCAAATTTACTCTTCGTAGAACGAGTGTGGTTTAGCAGGCAACTGAGCTATCCGGGGATTTCGAGCGCGTCTGTATCCACGCAAAGGAAGCCTGGCGTCTGTACGTAGAAGGCGTCTGTACGATCAGAGGCGAGAAAGATCGTTGGTGGTGATAACCTTTTTGTGATTGTGTGCCGAGCGGAATGGCGGACCCACCCACGGGGGCTCCCGAGCCCCTTACCACAAACACGCAGAAAGGAACAAGGATCGACGAACAGGAAAACCTTGAACCAACGACCGCAGTCCAGACTAGCAAACGTGTACGAGTAGAAAACTAACACACCCACGCAGCCCCGGAATCCCTATAATCGACTAACACCGGAACCAGAAGCGGACGGGTGACAACCAAAGAGATTCAGCATATTATCGAACACCTACAACACACTATCGACGAGCAAACTACCCTCATACAAGTCACTCGGGCCGAACTGAGAGGAGTGAGACATAGCTAGAATGAGCTCCAAGCTCAGAACGAGAAGTTATAGGGGGAAGTTCAGGCACTACGGACGCAGTTAAACGGGCTGAACGCACCATCTCCAGCACGCTCCTGGGCGGCCGTTGCATCCGGTACAGACAAACTACAACCCCGGGAGAACCACCGACGGAACTACAAAGACAAGAACTGCGTCCGCATCAGCACCGGACAGTCTCTCACCGAATCACTGGACACGGAAGCTACTGGAAACGCATTTGGTCGCTACCTCCAGACCGTGGCTGCAAACTCCCATGTCAGGACGGCGCTATCGAAGACACAAGCCACCCAGGATGTCCAAGTTGCGGGGATCGGAACCACTAAGACCGGATATGTGATCCGGTTCTAAAACCAGGCGTCGGCCGAAGCGGCCCGCAACAACACCGAGTGGCTGACCGAGTTAGGCAATGACACGAGACTGGTGAAGGCACGATTCGGAGTAACTGTCCACCATATCCCGACCTTTGGGTTGGACCTCGAAAGAAGAAACACTGAAGCCATTGAAAAGATCACAAACGAGAACGACCTCACAGACCGCGGTTTTCGAATCGAGGACATCGCCTGGCTGAAGAAAAGGGCCAAAGAATTGGGAACGTTTGCCTCGATGGACATCAGGTTTGATTCATTAGAGGCAGCGGAGTGGATGCTCAACAATGGGCTATTGATCGATCAACGGTACATTGGAAGAGTAGAAAAGTGTGAGATCAAAAAGAAGCGGTGCTTCCGATGCCAAGGGTACGGCCATCTAGCATGGTCGTGCAAAGAGACGCCTCGATGCGGCCACTGTGGTGGCCAACATGAGCGAGAGAGATGTCCACCGGGCATCAGAGCGTGCTGCCTGGAGTGCAGCGGTGAACATCCAACCGGAGACTTACTATGCCCGACGCCAGCCACGGTGCCCCTATCAGAATGTTAGAGAACAACCTCCGAATCCTACAACTGAACATCATGAAATCGAGGGCAGGCATGGAAGCTCTTATCAACGGTCATCAAAGTCAGAACCCGGACATACTCCTTATCCAGGAACCGTCAATTACCGCGTACCGAACACACGTGAACCACAGCGCATGGCGACTATACCAACCAACCGTGGAGAGCGACTCGGCTCGATTCCGAAGTCTCATCTACGTTAACCGCAAACTTTCAACCTCCTCCCACCGGCAAGTGAGATGCAACCATCCAGATTTGACAGCGATCAAGATCTGGACGGCCGACTCCCAGTTTCTGATCTTCTCGGTTTACATCCCGCCCGTACCGAGGCAGACGCCTGATGAAGCATCGGCGGAGACGACTCTATCGGCGATCCACGACACGATCCTAAACACCTCGCAAAACGATAGTAGAGCCCTTAGCCTTATCTTGTCGGGAGACTTCAACCGCCATCACCCAGCATGGGGGAACAATCACATCCAACCTCGAGCCATCGAAGACTCTGGCGAACTGATCAATTTCTTTCATCATCATTTTTGCGTCCAGAAACTGTCTTTAATCGTGAACGTGGTACTTTCTGTACGGGAATAATGGGACAAATTGATTGAATTGGTTAGTTGGATTATCTTCAATACTTAATACTGGCACTGATGTCCCTTCAGACTACGATTTGGATCTGGATCTTGAATCAATTTGGAGAGAATTCCCCAATATACCGACACCGCCGCCTTGCCTCGCAGAAAGCCATGGCACCCTGTGCTCAAACCAGCCACTCAGGGAATGGTTGGAGTATACTCAGCATGCGCATAAGAGGACTTCTGCCATTGAATGTGTCTTCTATCCCAGCTACGAGAACGTCCGCTCCTTCAGCTGGACGGGGCCGGATCCGTTATCCCAAGACACCTGTGCCGATGATATTTTCCTTTATGAAGCTCAGTACGGAAACCGGAGAGGCCGTCGAAGAGTATCCGTTCTTTCTTCCACGAGTTGAGTCAATGCTGGGCAACTTGCGAAGGATATGTTGTCAGATAAGTGATATCCTCTCGCAGAATTCTACAGTGGGAAACATAACAAGCGCTGCACAATTACGGTTTCAGTTAGCTATATGGCCACGGGTAGAGATCACAGATAACCCTGCCCTGTGGACTTCGGTTGCTTTATCTCGCATTTACCCTTCTATGCCCATGTCATTCCTTGATCCATAGGTCTTTGTACAGAATATAGTGGGAAATTGGGGACTCTGAATATTCTGACCTCATGGATTGCCTGTCATCAGCGTACTGTTTGGGTGCTTACATCAGGGTGCTTCACCGCCGATCCAAGCTTCGCCTGTCATTTCGCTTTCAACCCTAAAGTAGGAGATTTCGAACCCTTTTCCCTTCATTTTTCTTTTGATTCTTCGAATATAAATATTTACTTCGCCACTGTGTTCTATTTCACCTTGTCAGCCTAGGCTGGTCTTCTCTGACTATCACTATTTAGCCATGGGCTGGCTGGGTACGCATCCGTACGGGTGTGTGCTCCTCCGTGGCAATACTCTACGCGCCTTTGCTCACTCAGACCTGACCAATAGAGCTGCTTTCTTCTAGTGTTTTGATGTCCCTTTTCTAGAATCAAAGTCAGCGATATTTGGCTCATACGGAAAGATGCCTGCCGATATCTCATCTTTCCTGGATACTTGGTAGAATCTCGGTAGGGTCACTTTTCCCATACTTAGATACATAAGGACTATGGTCTTTGCCGTCTTAGATTCAAAATATCAACCGTTCATGTTCATTGTTGTTATTATTCGAACAGTAGGTCCAACCAAAACAGAGAGCTCCAAGGCCGACTTGGCTGCCATTTCAATTCCGCTCAATTGTTACAAGCATCTGGCACTACTTGGTGCTTCCACTTTAGCTTTTGGACGAACGGTACACTAGCGAAGATACCATCGGCACGTTGAGCTGTAGTTTCCTCAATTTGACGAGATATTTAATCAGACACAGATAATGGGAATGCTGCAAACAAATGCTTGTAACAAACCCCCCTGAGTTGTAAAGGTGAGACATTTAAGCTGGACAACTTTATAACCGGTCACCGGCACAAACGGCGAGATCACTAATGGCACACGTGCAAGAATGGTGGAGGCCATTTTTGGTGCACTTTGGATTAAATGTAACTTAGGGATGGATAGCCATGCAGTCGATGGTGTGGAAGCTAACTTGGATATTAATGCGTAATATTGGCTAGTCTACTTTGATGTTCGATGTTATAGGCAACAACCTCAAAAACGCGATGACGGTTTTATTTACTCCCCATCTATTTTTTCATCTATTTCGTGGGCAACCCTACGTTGTTCCACAACCGGCGACAGGTAAATGGGGGCATGTTATTACGTGTGGTGATTCCAATCACGTTCGATCAAGACAATGACCGGTCGACTTGGACAGGGCCATAACTCCTGCAATTAACTGTACCAACTTCTTTCACTTATACCACAGAGACAGAGGGCCAATGGTAAAGTAGGTTGATTGGTGCAGCCTATGTTGTGTCTCCTACGTGTTCGCGTTGGTGGCACTCAAGACGTTACGGTTCAACCGGGTTCCAACCGGCCGATAACAAGCGAAGCAGAGTTGGAACGGTTTCATTTCACAGTATCGCGGAAAAAATGTGCTTTCCTTGTTCCATTCCTGGTCCAGGCATACCTTTTCGCCGGAAACCTACATGTGTGTTTCTGGGTTCCAAGGATGCTGATTCGCGTGCGATCAACAATATCGCTTGACTTAGAATGGAAATGCCTCCATGAACCAAGGTCTACCTGGCTCTATCTCCTCTCGTATAGTTTATAACCAGTGCCAGTCAGGGCTCAGATGAATCCGTCAACTAAGCTCTCTGCGCACACAACGATGAATTGGTTTACAGACGCGCTCGAAATCAGTTTCACCATTTTACTCTCTTGCATTCTTTTCTAAACTCAACTCTGGAACACGCTAGTCTATGGTTGGTTTAGCGGATCTGGAGATGGTAAACTGTATTGTAAGGTGAAATCACATGATAAATACGATTGACACTTGTGGTCCCTAGCGGAGTCTAGGGCCTAGTATATATACCGCTGCAGTGACAATCGGGGGTTCCGATTGTCTCTATGATCTTTTGGCCGAGTGGTTAAATGCTCTTATGTAATCACTTAGGTGCAGCGGCCTAAGTTCCTGGAAGGATTACACACTCCATGCCCATCACAAAAATTGATAGTAGTCTTCTTCACGAAGGGCAGATAAATAAATCATTGATGGGCTTACGCAATTACCACTATATTTTAGAAACCAATAGAAAAGGATATAAGTTGCCACTTCGAGTGTAACGAGGAGCCTGAAATCTGAATGAGTGGTTCCTTGCTAGCGTAGCTTGATAGGTCACCTGCTAGCGGGGTACTTTGACGACTGATCGATGTGTTTGCGACTAAACTTACCTGGCTGCAATCATGGCATCTACGATATCAAACATAGTCTAATAGAAGCTCCGATTGTAGGGAAGATCACCAAAAGTCATTAGGGCTCTTCGATTTCACTGGACGCTTGGACCGTCCGGTCCACGAGAAATTCCACTGTACCTGCCTTGGTGGCGGTCAGGCTTTGCCCTCCGGTTTCCGATACTCTTTCTAGGATAGGACTTTTTAGTAGTAATTTGCTGAAAGTTCCTAGGAGCCTTAAATATCCTACAATACAATATAGCGTTTTTAGTAATTTACGGGCTGCTAAGCTGTGGTAGTAAGCATATATATAAGGGTATTCTTGTCTCTTTCCTTCTTGCCTTTACCACCACCGTTTAAGCTTAAAACATTTTCTTCCTTCCTCTACCTCTCCTCTTTCCTTTAATCAGCACTCAGCACTAGTTCGATTAAAAAGGTTAGTTCCCCGACCTTTACCTATATCCTACAATTTCGATTAACAAAATCCAAGCGTTCATTTTGTCAAGTTTGTTCAAAAAATATGGACTCTTCTTCAACACTCGAGCTTAAGAGGTCGGCCAAGTTGTTCGCCGAGCCTAGAGCAAAGCGTCGGTGTGACCGAGCTCAGTCTCCAAGTTCAATCCGCGACCTTTTTGTAGCCGTCCACCTATGCGGAGAAAGCCCATATGAGAACTTTAAATGTCTTTCAGATTCAGATCAGAAGGTATACTTCGAGAGATCTTTTACGACCTTAAGATCATTTCCTCGAATCGACCTCATGGTGCTTCAGCATTACGACAAGGGCGACCGGTTAAACCAGGATGAGCTAAAAGCTACCAATATGCTACGGAAAAAAATGAAAAGCAAATGGAAGTGGGTGAAGCCTGATCCAAAGGAGTCGGGTCGGAGACGACAGAGGGAGTTTGTGAAATGGGACGACGACAAACTTTGGTGGAACCCGTCTACGCAAGATTTTGAGTTGAGGAATGCTCAAGTTTCCAACGAACGCCATTCATCAAAGCATTTCGAAAATTCCCTACGACAATGTGGCTTTCTATACCATATATCATCCTCGCTTCTTCTCTATCGCCTAACGCTTCTAATGGGTGACTCTAAATCCATTTCAACCGATGGATATAAATCTTGTTGGGAAGTGTGCTTTTACCATACAGATCGTTTCACTTTCCTACGGCTCTGGGATAGTAAAGGAGGGCCTAGGGCATCGTTTTATGGGTCAAAGCAGTCGCAGAATGATGCCTTGGAATTTGTCAACCTCCTGACAACATACAAATTTCCCCATACTTATGACGGAACGATAGCTGGGGCAGTAGCTTGATTTCCAGTTGGCATGTTCCGTTGGATGTTATGTATGCCGGGTGTTTACGGTCACTATGTTGGGTTTTACAGTATGTCAAATATATTTGTTTCCTTCGGATATAGAGCTTTTAGACACCCGTCATTTACATCACACATCATCACATCATCACAACATCGTTCCAGTCTTCCATTGAGTCTTTAATATTATAAGAATCCCACCGATATATGCGGGAAGCATACACCACAAGCAGATTACCGCTACCTCAAAATCATAACCAAAAAACAGTTGACCGAAGGGGATACTAGAGGTGTAAAAAGGTTGCCAGACAACCGACCGAATCCTGCGAACTAGTCTGTTTGGCTTGTTTGCAAGTGAGAGGTCGTTCATTTCGACGTTTCCAGCTTCCTTATGGATTCCTTTAGGCGATGAGTACTGTAGCTTGCTGCTGTCCGCTAGGAATCGTCGTACTTGGTGAGTATGCTTATCCTCGCTTACTCCCAAAAGTTGATGTGGTGGATCCTGGCGGTCAGCTGGAGGCTCGTCGCTGCTGAGTGAATCTACAACTCATCCGGCGCAGGGCTCATATCGGGGTCGAAAACCATTAGCTGGAGATTTCTTCCTGTGTGTAGCCGTACAGTCTTTGACACAGCATCACGTATTGATGGACCCGCACATGCCGCATAGGTCGTAAGCACCATAAGCACAAAACTTTGTTCTTCAGCCCACGATAAGGGGTGAAGGTTGGAATTCGGAAACTCACCCGCTACGGCCACAGCTCCGCATTGGTGATTATTGAGATGCCGTTCAACTTCTTCCTCAATTTTGATCGAGCCATAAAAGTAGCAAATACTTTCGGCATATTCGTAGGAAATATTGTTCTGGGGTCCTGTCTGAGTACGCGGGCAATAGATGCTGAATTGCAAAATCTGGAGAATGGTCAGATCGTGGCTTTTCAGATAGGCTACACTAGCAGAAAATTCGCATTGAATGCTCTCCAGTCGCGATTGAAAAGTCCTTGCATCCATTCATTTACCCATTGTGGATTCTCTGGAAAATCCCGGTCAACAGACGGCTTCTTGACCCGCAAGTACTTGTCCAAGAAACATACCATCTTTGCCAACTTGGCGCTTCCAGAGAATCTCTAGCTCTCGCACCATCACTTCGCGCCTGCGGCTTGCCTCCACCAACATCTCAATGTATGAAAGCGCTCGAAAAAATCCAATATCCTCCACAACGAAGAGGGTTGTACCGAACCGGTAGAAATCGAGAGGGTGTCCGTAGGGTCCGAGTATCATAAGAGACTGCTTAGCCGGGGATTTCAGTGCTTCGTGATATAGCTTTTGCGTAAGCCCGGTTTGCGGCTATGCTACCATACGGACTATTTTCTGTGTTGGTCCCTTTTCCCAGAATGCAACATAGAACCGAGGGAGCTGAAAGAAAGCCCGAAAGCCGGCTCGTGGCATCCAAAGATGTACGTACTGGCCAGGGCGGTTGAGGCGTAGCTCTATATCCAGCCAGAGAAAATGGATCACCAAGTTCATGACTACCTTCTTTGGGAAGACCCCCAAGGTTTCTGATTCCATGCGGCCATTATGCAAATAACAGCGCTGATGAAAAACCACAGACAGATGGCACCAACCAGGTACCAACAATACAGTGACCGCCGCTCCAGAGATGGTATATAAGCGCGCCAATCGCCGTTGCTGCAAGAAGGTAGTGACATTTCATCGCAAACTGCAAGTATCGCCGTTGGACCGCCGCACAAGTAACCGGTATCACGAGAAAGAGGGCACAACCGGCCTATATTTGATGAGACGTTAATATGCGCAATAGGCACACTTAGCCTTGGGAGATCTTTGACTTACGCCTATTGGAACAATATGCCGTGAGGTCGCCAGGTTCATTGTTCTGGCGGCAGTAACAAGCAGTCAACAGTGAATCAGAGAATGAAGCACGCAGATGCGACCTACCCAGCGATGGAACCATGCGAGTATCTGGCGGTCCACGTGAAGCAGGTCCGCCGGAAGCCCAAAGCTAATACCGGTGCACAAAGGCACGATGTTGATGACTGCCAAAGAGCCAGCCCTGCCCTGTGCTTCCGCCCAAGGATGGGCTCTAAGCCGGAGGCCAACAATGTTTGCTGCGAGCATGACAGTCAGGATGAGCGCTTCCCGGTAGTTGGGATGTCAAGCCAACGCAGGCATTTTGGCAAGTGGACGAAGGCAAGTCGCCTCCAAGCGCCTGTCCTTTTCGATCGGAAAGGGCGACGGAAGATCACATGGCGTCTTGTCCACGCCCAGAGCCACACATCTCGTGCAAACTAATAGATCAAGCAGATTGCTATAATTATAGCGGCCGAAGTGGCATATAAGTTAGGGAGAGATGTATCAGCAATCCATCGATACCATTTTGACCCAGTTGGGGGCATTCTGTTCGTTTGCCAACCAGAGGGGAAGACCATTCATTCTAATAGTAAAGCATGGTTATTGTATTACAGCTATTGCTATTCTAGCGAGGAACTTGGCTTTGTGGCTATGAGTAATAAGGTGGCTGCGGTTTTTTGGCACATTTCTTGCAGGCTCAAACACACTATTACACGCTCAGTTTTTGACACAATTCCCCATTGAACACCGAGTGATGGCGTCGTTAACCCTTTTGGGTACCTCTTCTTCCTACCAACTGGCTCGTAGGTAAAATTATTGAAAGCGGGTTATTCCGAGTACCTCAGAGTTTGATGTAAAATCCGGTCAATCAGATCTGATCAAACAGGTCTCAGGTCGCTTTCCATCGGGCTGCTCTGAGTACTACAGCCTCTCCTTCGCCCATTCGGACATCTGTTTGTTATACTTGAGCTCTAGGGAGCAATTTTCTCGCTGAAGACTCTTGACATGTTCAAGCAAAGACTGATTTTGCTCCTCCAAACTCGCATTTTCACTTGCGTAAGCCTGCAGCATGTTATCGCGGTTTTGCAGCATGAGAATGTGGTTATGCTGCATTCTCGACATTTCAGCATAATGATACCTTCAACTCTTTGAGTTGGATGTTGTCTGTCTGAGCCGATGTTAGTCAGGACTGTCATGATAGTTGCACCCCAGCGACTGACCTCGGTAAACTTTTGGTAATGGGAAGGGGCTCTGCAGTGCCACTGGTCTTCTCTGTGGTGGCATTTGGTTTTCTCTGACCGCGAGGACGTTTTATCGCTTCCGGTAATTAAATGATGGGCTTGAGAGCCTTTGCGGCCATGGCCGCTATTTAACTATTTTCCGAGGATGTAGCTTTGCTAGCGTTTCTATAGACCCCGGTATCATTCGACATGACATCACCTACTTTGAATGTCAAGGCACTGGCTCCCGGGATCGCGGCACTTGCTCCTAGGGCCCTTATCAGGGACAGAAATGAAGCACATACGATTATCAGAGGATGAATGTAATGGTGGACCCACATAATGTATCTGGGTTCCCCCGAACGCGAGGAAGCTATTGTACCTTTCTTTTACTTCTTCGTGCTACATCTTGGATCTGGAGTCAATTATAGTTGTTCTTAATTTTGATTGCTTATCTCCAGATGGTAATACATCTATTTATACATGAGGCCCTCACAGCGCTGTAATTGGTTCTAAAAGCTTGTATCGTATCAGGGCTTGAGGCCATCAGGGATCTGTAGCTCTGAGACCTGTGGCTAAGTGGACCGTGGAACTGTAGGGGACGCCAGCTGGCAATCTGATGGTTGGCAAGGCCTTAGGGCCGCAGCCTTGGAATCTACTTGGCTCTGGCTCCGTATCTACTGCTATTGGGTCGGTATCATCGAGCCCTAGGTACTTCCGCTATATCAACGTAAGATGATAGTTCTATTTACATTACTCGTTCATTATCATGAATAACTGACTAACAAGCAACACACCAGTTGCGACAAAGCAAGAGTTCAGGACGAGCCGACAGGGATAGAAACCGTTGACTGTGGATCCCAATCCGGGTACACGGGGTAAAATACCAGGCTTTGGGGGTTTTGATGACGCCAACGGTCTTTCACGGCTACCTTGGTGTCGCGAGGGCTAGCAGCCTCGATGTAAGGAATCCCGTGACTTGCCTTCCAGCAGTGATCCTTCGACATTGGATCCTTGATGTTCCACTCGATGCCAAATTCCATTCCCGCAAATCCAAGCCCAATTAGATGTGTTGTGTGTAGATACCGATGTGTGGTCGTGCTAAAGAGATCGAAAACTTTGGCATCTAGGTACTCCCCAGATACTTTGCTTAGTTCAGGATCTGTATAACTGATCTGCCTGATAAGATTATTTTCGAGAAGCTCTTGTCCAGCAATCAGTGCTTCTGCGCGCTCCTGTATAGAGAATACCGAGGAGGCATGGGAACAGTCCCTGAGGCACTGGACTTCTTTAGCACTCTTCTCAAAGTTGGCGGGGATTGCAAAAATCCACACCTCCAGCTGAGTTTGACTTGGGCGCTTCCGTTTGTAGTACTCGTCTGCATTGAAGATTCGGTCGCTCAATCGAATGGTGTCCGGTCCGATGATCAGGACCTGGCAGTTGTCCTGGAACCAAGGCTCAAACAGTTGCATGGTATGGTCAAAGTCTCGTAGTGGCTGTAGGAACGTCTCCACTGTATGCTGGGATGGTGTAATCCGGAGTGAAGCTAAGAGGGCGCCAACATCGGAAGCCGTCAACTGTCCCATTATGCTGCATGCTATCTCATAGTAGCCTGCGTGGTAAAATAGCAATGACATTACTTTTTGACCTTGAGACATCTTGACAGATTATGCGAGTTGAGCTGTGGGTTTTGGAATTTCAGTATATTCTCGTCTTGCTCAAGCTACTATGTAGATCTTACCAAGGGGGAATCGTAATAATAAGTTCGTTTGAAGGATTGAACGGTATCAAAAAGTAGGGATCAAGGTATCTTATAAAAACTTCCAGAAAATTTCAATGCAGCTTATAGTGAGCATGTACCGTAGTTCCTTCCTGGGAGAGCCACTCCCGCTCCTAGAGTACTGAACTTGTTGAGTACATTCTTAGTCGATGGGTGCTTATACTTATGAAGTGCTATGAGCTGCTCGGTGTCTGGGAGTGGACAGATGGTTCCCGGGATCCAAGTATGTGTTCCCGGGAGCTTCGGAGGTCCTAGGAGCTCCCGCCCCGTTCCCGGAGCCATTCATTGGGTTCCCAGAAGGAGGCTCGGTGGTACCAGGTTATGCGGCGGTTACAAATCGAAGGACATGATCATTGAGCCCCCATGCATGATATCATAACTAATCAGGTAGCACATAATCCTGTGTATAAGTGCAATTCAGCCCCTTTAAACTGCACGTTACGAGTATGTCAACCAGTCATGCAGATTTCGCCTGGGGTGCGTGAAGCCCTGTCTACCGCCCTGCTAATTGTCAGCCTCGTCCGTTTGGAATTGTCTCGTCGAACAGTGCGGGAAAACTCTTCACATCTGGCGCTTGACCTTGCAGTCTCTGTACCGAAGGATGTTCTCCTAGTAGTTTATATGGGCCTGAGCTGGGCCGGGGCAAGTGATGCTGTAGGAGGGGTAATACTTGGGGTAGCCAGCGTGTTCCCATTCTTACTCGTGGTACGTGCTACAAGATTTCTCAAACTCGAGTTAACCACCAAGGATCAGTCTCTCCGAATGAGCATCCTGCTGCGAAGCCTTATCAATACACCATCTCAATTAATGATCTATTTTTCATTATTTTCCCTTTCCTCGTGCTTGATCAAGGTTACAGCCACACTAGTTGGTACTTACGTCTATCTCCACTGCGAGGTGTCGTACTTTTTATTCACTTTGTGGATTATCTGAGCTTGACTTTTCTCTTGTGGTGGCTGGATGAGTATACAATGACCCATTCATGGACTCGATTACAACTACGTTGTGCTTTGCTTTGGACGATCGGGTTGGCTGTTGTGCTTCTTCTGATTGTGATCTTTGGGGTTGTCCTGTCCTGCTGGCTGTTATTTCTAGAGGTAAAGTTGGCCGCGTATGAGGAAATACCACTCTTTGCTGACTTTGACAGCTGCAATTATGCATTCTCACCACCTGGCTAATCTTGTCATATTACGCTGTTCGAAGTGCTGGAAGTTCAGTCGGTGAGCAATCAACTTGTTCAGCAATTTTGGTAGACCGCGAAGTTTAGGCACACAGAATCAAGGAATTCATTGGAGGGCTAGCAAGTACTTGCTATCATCGAACACTTGCTTGAAGCATTGGGGCGGTGCAAAAGTTTGAAGCAACTTTGGCCTGTTCGACGGCAACGACTAACATCGGGGAAGCCCATCTTCCGGCAAAATGGCCAAGTCGCCGACAGACCGATCGTTCCAAACTTTGAGCATACCGATAAGTCTTCCCCGAACTTCATCCAACGCATCATCGATAGCATGCAAGCGGGCCACTTGCTCATCTTGGCAGTGCTTCAAGCGGCTTCCCTCGTTGCATAGCTGAATATTTCCAGTCCGCAGCTTCTCATTTTCCTCTTCGAGCTGCTGGATGTCTGTATGTTTGGAAACACAAGACTCCCATAAACATCGAATGTACCCCACCAGACGTGCAGCTCGAAATGCAAGTTCAGTATCTTCTTCAATTTGCTTCAAGACCTCAAGTATGGGTCGGAAGGGCTCTACAGCCAAAGTCTGCCTCTCTATGTCGCGGTTTTGGGTCTGGCTGGTCAGCGTGGTCCGGTCTATTCATATTTTATTCTTACCGGCCGCGGGGTTGTAGCACCGGGAAGCGGGGGCTCCTCGGTTGAACTTGGCTGTGTGTAGAGCGGTGCCTCTCGCTGTGTACCTGTGACTTCTGATGTTTTGCTGGGGCTCTCCATGACTGATCGTGCTGGCAAAGACGCTCATTCCGCTGTTGGGAACCAGTCTCTCTTTATACTATAACTTTGCTCACTCGGCTGTCCATGGTGGAGCATGGCTAGACCAAGGTCACCGTAGCAGTAATACTGGGTTTGCAAGGTAGCAGTCCCTCAGTTACTTGCATTCGACCGGCTTCCAACGTTCACTCCCTGTAGTCACCATACAAATTTGCTGGTATAGATCTATACATTCACCACTTGCACACGGAGATTCTATCTCGAACCCTCTTTTGAAACACGCTATACCTATTACAGTTACTCTTCCCCTGAACCCCTGTCTTGGCAGTAATCCAATACACCTGCAAATAACAGCATAAAAATAGCTTCTGTAATAGACCTGTATGGTTCTTAGGCTTTCTAGAACGTTGATCCTGCAAACAGGCCAAACAGACAGAGTGTTTGCTCTTCTCGTCTGGAGACGTGGCGGGAATTCAAATCCCACTCCCGTCAACCACGCACCTCTACACCGAGTGCGTTGTATAGAGACAGTACTACTGGGTAATGTTCATTTGCTTTTTGTAACAAGCTTGACCTTCTAATGGAGGACTAGCATTTGCTTGACTTACTGGTTGGAATCATGCTGACATTGGATTCTTTGAAGCGTTCAGACGATGACGATGACTACTGATTCGTATCCCGATGAACGTGATTTTCAACCGCATGACCTTGAACCTGGAGATCAAGATTCGCAATATGCCCCCACTCCAGGATACTACGGTCGCACGCCTGCGTCAAGCTGTGGGCTTAGCTCTTCCCCCGAGTATCACTCCGGGCACGATCTAGAAGACCTGTCCCAACACCAACCCGAAAGACCCAGACTGCTCCAGCTATCCGAGTGGCACGATGGAATGCTAAGTGACGAGCTTCCGGCAAACTGCATCCAATATACGATAGAATGGAAAGTTACGGTGAATAAGAAGGTGCTCTCGCGAGACACTGAAGAGGATGTAGTCCTGACTCCGAGTGCTTATTGGCCGAAGACCCTGAAGGGTAAACTTGAGAGGTTGTTAGAAGGGAAGGTCCCCCGTAAAGGAAGGGTAAGGTCGGACGACACCTCGATCGCTGTATCGGTGAATGATCGCTCCCAACGCGACCTGATGAAACGGTTTGACCATCTCGACATCGATTGGACTGCTGTTGAAAAGCAGCTGTTGAAGTGGGGCGAACTATTTCGTCGAGGCAAGAAACTGAGGCTAAGTATTATCTTCAAATATGTTGAGGACGACAGTCTCCACAAAATCACTTCGGGTAGGGTCGAGAAAAGAGGAAGGTCATCGGTCACTAAACGAATGCTCAACGAGCGAGACGCTCAACTGGATGCCGAAGAAAACGTGTCTGGACAAGAATCGATATGGCGGGGTGTTTACAATCTAATGCGTTGCCCATCCTCCTCATGCCATCTCGGCCCACATTGCTGGCAAGACCCCCACGGGAAAAAGCACTATAAATTGAGGAGCCATCAACTAAAGCGTTTGATCGCCTTTGTGGAAAAAGGTGGCACCTTGCAGTCTCATGAAGACGTCCCGGATAATTTCCGTGAAGAACTATATATGGAAGAGCGGCACAGGCTAGAGAGCCAACAATCTAAGAACAACAAGATGTCCGGCACTCCAGGAAGCTGTCACCCTATCAACATCCATTTCAATGGAGTGCAATCTTCTCCGCAATCAGAAACGTCCAACACAACCGCAGCCTCAGCAATGATTCTGTCGCCGAATGACCAAGCCATGGATGACCTCGATATTCCTGGACTACGAGATGAAGCTGTCAGGAATTATAGCGCATGGCATGAAGCGAATGTCAAGGACGACAACTTGAAAGCTCAATTCCGGGAAACATGCAACGTGGCGTTAGCCAATGGTCTAGACCTTAAGCTGATTCATGAAGACCAAGATCCGTCATTCTTCATCGACAAAGGGATTATGGTAGGTATCGCACGCCAGTTCGTGAGAGATATTGGCCAATGGGTCAAGTGTGTGAGGAATGTCTCGCCGGTCAACCAAACTACGCAGGCCGTAGCTTGAACGCGTGGAAGATGTAGAAGGCGTTAGTATAGACTTTAGATTGACTCTTTAATCCCTTCTGTTTAAAGCAGCTCCTCCAGTAACTGATTAAACCACAACTGTGGGCACACAAAAAAATAGTTAGCAGAGAATCGTGCAATTTAGGTAAGTGTTAAAATGTATATATATTGTGTCACTATACAGCCCAACACTATAACGCCTCAAAATTTCTACCTAGCCGTGAGACCCAATGGTAACACCAGCATGTCGGAAATGACCCAAAGCACTCTGCTTTCGGGACCCAACAACCTCAATACACCACTCGAGGAAAGTTTGAAACCCTTGTTCTGGGTCTTCTTCATACCGCACCCAGTTCCGTCTAATGAATGCTTTCAATTCTGAGAAGAACTCCTCGATAGGATTCAAGTCAGGTGAGTAAGGCGGCAGATACACTAGCTTTACTCCTGCTTCAATGCACATTTCCTCGATACGATCAGAACGATGGAAAGATGCGTTGTCCATGACTAGAACGGACTTAGGCTCAGGCCATCTTCCACAATGCCGAAGAAGCTGATCAATGAAGTCCTCGAAGACTGCAGCATCCGTGGAGCCCTGAAATATACGAGAGAGCAAAATCCCATCTTGGCAATATGCGGGCAATATCTGGTACCGCTGGTCACGATGGAAGTTGGCTACCTGCAATGGTGCCGTGCCTAACGGAGACCAGCCTGTCCGTCTGAACCCAATTCGTTTATCACACCCAGACTCATCTACGTAGACCAAGTGATACGACTGAAAGTCGGACAGGTTATGCATATAGAAATCTCGTAGATCCGCATTCTGTTCCTTTGCTCTCTGTCGAGCCACCTTCTTCGACCAACCCACCGAAGCAAGGGCCCGTTTAAGGCTTGAATGTGTGACCTGGACACGGAACTCGTCCCATAAAAAGATAGCCATCTCGTCCACATATAGACCGGGCTTTTCGAGGAGGCGATCGCACAGTGCTTCTATCATCGGAGGTGTTACGGTCCGTCGTCGACCTACTCGAGTTGGGGGTGCTCTGACATTTCCGAACCGTCGAAGGTTGTTGCTGATGTTGATAATGGAACGCTTACTACATTCAGCAGCTTTAGCCATTTGCGAGGCAGTCAGTGATTTGCTCAATATCATATGCTGGATCATTTCGAGCTTTGAGAGAGGGAGTCTTGGCGCCATGTTGCGAAGAGACCGGTGGGAGAATGAGGGCGTTGGTCGAAGATTATTTAGCGGGGGAGCGATGGGAAACCGCGGAAATGTGATGGAAAGCGAATCCATCTGCTCACCTTTGCTCACCCCTCTGCTCAGTGAGCAGATGAAATTATTTTGGACGAAAGGTCTGGGGCATGCTGGGTATTAGGAATTGCACGTGACTTAGCGATCTCTCAGTTCCTGGGAGCTTGGTGGCCCATCTGAAAGCTGCGGACCTCAAAAAAATGGCGGTTGCAAGGACCGGAGCATCCTGTGCTAGCTCAACCATAGCAATAAACAGATTGTGAGTTTTATTGCTTATACTGTGCATTTGAGACAGCTGCTGTACTGTAGATTGATAATGTCAAAGCGCGCTCTTATCTGGAGGGATCTGGCCTGTCTTTATCTGGGTTTTCTGGCTCGGGTCGATCCGATTCCTGGGAAGAGGGTCACCCCACACAGGACCAACAGAAGGCTCGATGTGGGCTGTCCGCCAATCTGATTCCCTGTCCTAGCGCTCGGAGTCACCTGATAGGGAGCCCAAGGACGTTCCCCCCCTTCAGCTGAGAGTCAGATAACGGCCCTTCAAGAACTACAAACGAGCCACATTTATTTGACCATGACATCGACATCATTCCATGGCAATAACCATGGACTGCAGATTGGAGATAACAGCGGCTCGATCAATGCAGAGTTCCATCTGCCTCTGGGTAAGTCAGAGGAACGGAACAAGGTCCAGGCCAACTGACTAATTGCCGCTTCCGTCTAGAGCGACCAGAAACTCCGCCCAGCCCTTTGTCAACTGTGCCATTCACGCGCGATCCAGACTTTGTCCGTCGTGACACACTGCTCGATCAGATCTATAGTAAAAGCTCGGTCGCGGGGTCGAGAATAGCGCTTATTGGCCTTGGCGGTGTCGGGTAAGTGTATTGCGGTTCTTACGTGGTCGATTGCTCACAAGTCGAAGAAAATCGCAACTTGCGATCGAATACTCCTATCAAGTCCGATCCAAATCACCGGCAACATGGGTTTTCTGGGTTCATGCGAGTAATGAAGCCCGGTTCGAGCAAAGTTTCCGGGACATCGCGGACCAGGTTAAAATCCCGGGTCGTCAAAATCCCAAAGTTAACATTTTCAAATTGGTCGAAAACTGGCTTCGAGATGACAAGATAGGAAAATGGATATGTATCCTTGATAACGTCGACGACGATCAGCTTCTTTGCTCGGTTCCGGTGGTAGGCAAAGAAGATTCGATGAGAGGCCCAACGAACGCTTCAACAAAACCACTGTTAGAATATGTCCCTAGAAGCCGAAATGGATCTATCATTATCACAAGTCGAACTAGAGAGGCTGCATTGAAGATTGTCGATCACAAGGGCCTTATTGAGGTTAAACCCATGGAAAGCTCCGAAGCACTAGAGCTTCTCAAAAGAAAGCTTGAACAACCAAAGGAGAGCCAAGAAAGTGAACAGTTGGTGAACACATTGGAGTTCATACCGCTAGCGATCGTACAGGCCGCTAGCTATATTCGAAATCGGGCGCCTCGCTACTCCGTGTCACAATACCTGAGAGATTTCCAAAGGAGCGACCGTGAAGCGACAAAGCTGCTGAAAAAAGAGGCAGGTCACCTCTACCGGGACTGGGAAGCTAAAAATTCAATTTTGGTGACGTGGCAAATGTCATTCGAGTATATACGCCAAACAAAGCCATCTGCTGTGGAGCTGCTTTGTC